CATATGGTACTCTGTTCTTTGTTTCAGTGATAGATCGTTGAGTATGATCAACTCTAAATCTATCCAAGTTGCTGCAAAGTCCATATGTTTGTCCTTCTTTATATCTGCATAATATTCCTTTGTGTATATGTACCACATTTTTTAATCCAGTCCAGCTTTGAAGAACCTCACAGTTTTTAAGATGCACCCTGTCACCCCCAGATCATGACCCATTCTCACATCCTTTGAAGCACAGACCAGCTGGCCAGATTTCCTATGTCTCTCTTTGGTTTTGTCATTTTATCAGTCTGTAAGACTCTGAATTTTACCTCTGGGTTATCCACATCAATCTCGGCAAATTCTGTGCTCATCTAGACAATCCATCTAACATGCAGCCATGAAGCTCCTAAAGCTCCTTTGTTTCCACCTACTTTGGGAATGTCTCAGGATTCTCTTCAAGACTATGTTTCATGTTTTGTCACCAGTCAAAGCTGATCTCCTCTAAAAGTTCAAAATCCAGTCTCAACTTTCTCTGCATCAATTGACTCCATTATTCCAACTTGCTGGTCAGTTTACAAAACCTCTAGTATTTTAATCCTGCATTGGCACCCCAGCCATTACCAACCTCATTCTCCCTTCTGGATCCATTTCTTTCCTTATCCATTCTACACCCTTCTTGCACCATTCTAAGCACTCCTTATCAGTACCTTCTTTCTTGACCCTCACTTGTCAGTCTCCCACCCACACATATGAATGGTTAACTTAGCTCAATTTGCCCAAGGTTCATACTCTTAAAGGCAGACTGTGAGGTGCAGCTGAACAAAGTCACACACCAAAGTAGATGGGTGCCATTGGAGTTATTCCCTCACCATACCTGGGCCTTCAGAAACACTCAAATATCAACTATATTTTTTATATGATGTTGGCCAGAGTCTTCTCAAAGTTTCATCCAAACCTTTGCTGCTCTTCTTCACACCTTGTCTGGAAAGTCTCTCTCTCTCTGTCTCTCATACACACACATACACACACACACACACACACACACACACACACACACACACACCAGAGCCACCAGATGTGAACAAACTCTCACCACTCTCATCCAAATCTATAAAGACACAGATCTGAGACCATCCTGACTTCATCCTTTCTTCCAATGAAGAAGTGAGGAACTTCCAACCAACCTTTCTGGGCATCTCAGGTAACAGTTATGCACCCTTTTTCTCCTCTCTGCTAGCTCCTCCCTTTGGCTCACAAATCTACTGTGATCCTTCAATCCTGAACTTCTAGCTATCGACATTCAAAGTCAGACTACTTGAAAGAGTGTCCAGTTTCTCCCTTTCTCATGCCCCATTCATACTTCAGTTCACTGCAGTGTGGTCTCCACTCTACCCCTGCAATGAGCATATCTTCAATGTCACTGCTAACCAGATTGCCAACTTCAACAATCATTATTCTCTCGTTAACTTTTTCTAACAGTTTACTCTATTGATCATTCTTCCTTTTTAATATCCCTTTCCTTCAATGACTATGAATCTAATTGCTTGTCTCTCTTCCTCCCTCTTGGGTCTGTCCTATTTTATTTTTTCCTTATCTTCTCCCAGGTTCCAGTTATATATTCTCTCCTCACTCTTCCACTAACCATGGCAATCTCAGTCATATCCACTGACACAATGATGACTCCCAAATTTTTATTCCAGACTGGCACTCTCCTGAGTTTCAGAGCCAGATTCTAATTTCTCACAAAACATGAGCACCTATAGACACTTGTTTAATGTTCCAGAACCAAATTTACTTATTTTTCTTTCTTATTCCTTGCCTCGGGGAACAACAATACTGTTTATCTGAATCATTAACTGAACATCATCCTAGATTTTTTTCCTTATCATCTATATCCAATCAGCAGCTAAGTCCTATAGAGTTTCACTACTTTGACATGTCTCTGTTCCCTCACCTCCATTGCTATAGCTACTGCCTCGGTCCAGGACCTGGTCACCTCTCATTTTCACTATTGCAACTGTCTCCTATCTATCTCCTGCCTCTAGCTTTGTACTCTCCAACTTATCATTCAGAGGACAGTCAGGGCAATCTTTCTTTTTTTGCATTATTCCTTTTACTTCTTGAGTTTACATTCCATTCTGTTTTTCCCCAAATTTTATCCTAATGTACTTTCATGCTTAATGTTATTTATTCATCCATCTGTGAGACTTCTATATAATAAAATACATATGGATTTTGTTTATTTATTCATTTCTATTATTTATTCATTTACTATGACTACAAGACTGTGTAAAAACATTTTTTCTAGATCGGATTATTATGAAAATTATTATAAGTATAGAGTTGCTCAAAACATCATAAATATATGACAGAGTTTGAGAAATATTTATTAAACAAATATTTTATTGGAAAGGGATCTCAATTAGACAGATAAGAATCTGTCTAATATCTTTAGTATACCTAATGAAAAAAATGTTGAATTTTTTCTTTGTCTTGTGCACCTGAGATTTTTACACCTGGGCAATATACAAGAAGGGTGAAAATTTACCTTCTTTTGAAGTAAAGGAAGGGAGATTGTAAAGGAGAGTGAACATAGAATAGCAAGGTAATTTCTCAGTTAAGTCTCATTTAAATAAGAGCACACAAGGGAGTGGAGGATCCTTCAAATTCTCTGTACCCTGTGTTCCCAGGGTTCCTTGTATCCCACTTTGAAGAACTGTGTGCTCAAGATCCCTTTCCTCAAGCCCCAGTTTTGAGGCAATGAGAAAAGTGGTTGAAGGAGATCTTCATTTACTATCCTGGCTATTCCAAAAGATCTAACCTTGCTCCTCTCTCTTCTTTCCTCTTTTTTTTTGAGGCTGTATCCTTGCTTTCAAGGAACATTTATTCCTTCTCATAACTGCTGTTATTTCATATTTCAAATTACCTTCTCTCTCCCCCAAACTATCTTTAATTTCTTTCTTTCTAGATGCTTTTCCTTCTGCTGTTAAATTTGCCAGGTATCTCCTATTTGTGTGCTTTTAAAATATTTTTAGTTTAAAAAAAAATCTACACTTGATTTTGTTGCTTGGTCTATATATACATATATATGTCATATTACACATTGCTACTGTAATTTAATTCAATTTCTAAAAGCAATACATAGACAACATCTCTTAAAATGTGTATATTTCAAAAGTATATATAGTCTCCATTCTCTTTGCAGCTACATTTCTAGAATTGTGTGCTTGACTGATGTTGGGAGCCGGCTGTGAGGCCCGCCTGAGCGTTAGGGATCCAGGCGGGCTACAGACCCTGAGACCACCAGGTTGGGTTCAGGAGCTGAAGGGCTATAATATGCCTACTTTCTCTTAGTACTTTACTTCCATTTTCCCCTTTCCCTCAATGATTAAGACTTAACTTCTTCCTGTAGTTTTTCCCATTGTTGTCTACTCCCTTCAATACACTTATTTATATCATCTAGATTGTCTACCTCTATGATGCCAACAAGTAGTCTGTCTCATTCTCCTATCCACCCCCCAACATTCTCCCAGGGGATGTGTACCAGTCAGTGCACTGGGGCTGTCTTTCTTTCCAAGAGACTTATCAAAGCTCAGTCAAAACAATCTTTATCAAATGGAAACCTGGGCTTCACAATCTAGTTTAAAACCCTATGATGGTTTCTCAATGTGTACAGGTAAAGTGAAAATTCTTAGCACTGAATTTATGCATTGGCCCTTTCTATGTCTCCAGCCTTATTTCTAGTGATTTTCCTCCCATTCAAAATCTGTTATACCTCTCTACGCACTCATATTCCCCAAACACCATGGTGTTCTGTTTCTCTAGGCCTTTATGCATGCAGTCACACTTTCAAGAATACCTTCCCTCCTTTCTTGGCCTAAAGAAGTCCTACCTGTCCTTGAATAATTACTGTGGTGAAGTCCAAATAGCATCCACATTGTCCCATTATGTAATTTTTTATTTTCAGAACTGCCTGCACTACTGGATTAAAAGGCCTTTACAAGCAAGGGCTGTGTCCTCTATGTTTTCTGTCAACAAATCATCAGCATTTAGCGTGATGCTGTTAGATTGTTTCTAGAATTGATCATTGCAATTGTTATTAAATAATTGTTATCAGAATATAAATACAAGTGAATTCCTACAATTTAAATCTCAATGTTTTAAACTCACAATAACAAAACAGATATTTGTAGCTGTAAGAGTTTGAGAAAAAAATAAGTTCAAACAGCCGAGAAGAATTGAATCTACTTGGTATGATTTAAATAATCCCCAGACTAAAGGCAAGGTGGGTAGATGCCTGGGTAAATGGTGTTGCTGTTTACCAATGTCCTTAGTAAAGTACCAACCAACTCTCTGATTAATCAAATCAACTCTCTGATATAATTTTGAACAAGCCATGTCAGTATACTTTAATAAGCATTCTGATTCTTATTTTTTATTCTAAGTTGTCAGTTAAGCAGGGTATGGGAGACATAGCACAAGTTTTAATATCAGGCAAAGTAAGGGCTGAATGAAAGCTCACCCCTTAAATTGCTTTGTGACTTGGAGATGTTGGACTTCCCTGGAGCATAGTTTTATCAATGGTCATCAGGATAGTTACAGCAATTCACTCAAACACTTTACACTCAAGTGCTGAGTATAGTGACTGCTCAATAATGTTTATTTCCTTTCCCTTTACAAATGAAATTTATTTTTGTACATTTTCATCTGAGTTTCACTTTGCAAAGATTCCAAAAGCCTCTCCCAGTACTAAGTTATTTCCTCCATGCACTGACAACCTAGTGCTGGTCTCTCTAGTCCAAGAATTCCCAACAACCTTTAAGTTTTCTTTTTAGAGAGTAATTGTCTTCTTTTCTTTGCTAAAACAAATGTGATAAAATCAATAGAATAGATTTTTAGAAAACATTGATTTACCTTAAATGCTAACCTGTTCTCAGTTGCTTGGAACAGAAACTGTAGATGCTCTCTCCTGCATCTGGGAAAACTGGTCTCTCCTAGGCCTCCTTTCTTCTTCCTCTTACCTGTCTTCCTTAGAGGTCCTTGTGCTAATTGGTGCTAATTGGATGGCTTGGAATCACTGCTGCAAATTCACAGCTTGAATTGGCTCAGCTCACTATCAATCCCTATTCTGGTTCTGCCTTTTCTCAAGTTTACACTCTTGTTGCCTAGGAAATCCCAGTGACTGTGAAAGCCCAACCTGTTTGCACCGGGAGAGAAGCCAACCAGAAGTTTTGCTAGCAATTGTTTGGTTTCTAAAATGGCATCAAAACTTGTTTCCCATGTTTTCTAAGGTAGTATTTAGCAAATTGTCTTCCTTCTTTTAGGCAGTCCATTCCTTTTTGTTGTCCCCAGAAGGCTTGCCGCCAGGGTGCTGTTACCAGGTGAGACTCAAAACCACAATTCAGGAGCAGGCAGGTATAATTATAGGTGATTCAAAGTCCTCTCTCCTTCTTTGCATTCACATACCAATAGGACATCTTTTCCACTGTTTCCGTCCTTGGGTTCTTTCTTTTCTCTTTTCATTTCTTTTCTTTTTTTCACACGTTGTTTGGCAATTACTTTGCCAAGATAAGAAGCAGTCTAGTGACCTATTTAGAGGAAAATAACTGGGTTGCTAGCTTTCTAGAGAGAAATGGGAAAATAGAGAGCTGGGAGGAGCTCATCTTGGGTCAGAAAAACATCCCCAGCACTGTCTTCAAAGAGTTTAAATTTGTTGGATTGGTCTGTTTTATGCCAGGATGATTTTTACCATGCAAATTTTTTTTTTTTTTTTTGAGTTGGAGTCTCACTCTGTCGCCCAGACTGGATTGCAGTGGCCGCTCCCAGCCACCGCAGCCTCAACCTGCTGGGCTCCAGCGATCCTTCCGCCTCAGGCTTCCAAGTAGCTGGAACTACAGGCGCGCACTACCATGCCCAGCTGATTTTTTGATTTATTGTAGAGATGAGGTCTCACCTGCCCAGGCGGGTCTCAAACCCGCGGGCTCAGGCAATCCACTCACCTCAGCCTCCCAAAGGCGCGGGATTACAGGCTGAGCCACCAAGACCGGCCACAAATTTTTTTTATGTCAAATTAATTTACCTTTCTCTTGTACCAGAAATTTTTTAGATATATTTTAAATGTCATTTCTTTCTCTACAAATAGGTTATAGAAAAATGCACTTTTTTTACACTTGTCATGGTATTATTTTTTATACTTAGAGCTCTGATATACTTGGAATTCATTTTATGATATAGTGTGAAGCAGTACAGATCAAATATTGTCTTTTTTCTAAATGATATCCAGTTGTCCTAGCAGTATTTGTTCTAGGCACTATGCAAACTTCTATAACAACAGGATAACTAGGAACCAGCTCCTGACCTTTAGGACTTTATAGTTTCTTTTTTTTTTAAACATATTTTTTATTTTAAAATTGTGGGGTACAGTTAAGGGTTAGGTATACAAATATGCATCGTTCAGGCACCCTTGTTGATAAGGGGTGTCCCCCCATCCCCAGACAGATATTAATTACCGTTAATTCCACTACCCTTGCCCTCCCTGTCCCCCAGGACTTTATAGTTTCTAAAGAGGAAGACAGATACTTCAACAAATAATTGCAATATAGTAAGAAAAATCCTTCAAAAAAAGAACACAATGAACTCTTTTATGGGTGTAGTGGTCAGGAATGTGAACACAATAACACTGGATATTGAAAAATAAGCAGTAGTTTTTCATTCCAACACAAGTGAGATGATATTTCTGAGAGAGGGAAGAGCACAGACAGAGCAGAGACTAGGGTTAAAAATAGCAAAGTATGTTTGGGGGGCAGGTAGCGCACATTTGGAAATGGGTAGGATGAGTTTTACTCAAGATATGTCCAGGGGGTAGCCGGAAACAAATCACAGTGCCCTATATTTCATGCAATGGGAACAAGCAAAGAGTTTAAATAGTGAGGGATGAGATCAGGTTTCTGTGTTTTCATGGCCACGCTCACAGCCCATTGGAGGATGCTTAGAAGGAACAAGACTAGAGGCATCATTCTGGTTTGCTGGCTGCTATGATTAGATTTCAGGGATCCAGGTTTACCTGACTGACACAGAGTTGATCTCAATAAATTGCCAAGTGTTAGGGGAAGATAATGTGCGGGAGTGGGAGGGAAGGATTTACTGACCTGAAAGCATCATCCTTACAACCTTGTGTTAGTCATGAGGAAAATGAAGTCATGACTAGTGATTCAAAGGAAAACATGAAGAAGGCTTCATATCTGTCCTTCAAGGAAGGGCTGTCATTGACCAAGTCAAGTGGTTTCATAAAGAGTGTAGAAATAAAACTTTATATCATACACACACAATCGAATGTAATCTGCAGGTTCCTGGCCCTGGGTGACATCCTTACAGCATGAGAATCCACAGAATGCACAGACACCAGGAACCCAGTTCTGCAGACCTCCAAGCAAATCTTTTCCTGGAATAGGCAAGAGGGTGGGTCATTCCTTATTTCTTTAAGGAGTATTTGTAGCAGTTACTTTATTTTTTGAATCAAATTATATAAAGATCTCTATCACAATCCTAGAATAAAGTGATCAAAAACTATTGCTCTTCCAGGGCCTCTCCATATGTCTAATATTTTCTTCTCTATGTTTTTAACTATGTGATACCATTCATTTGAAACTTTTATCACAGTGAGATTTAATTTCATTTAAGAATGCTAAAGCAAATACAAAGGCACAATCATTTGAAGGTAAAATATTTCACAAAATGCCACCTACCAGAGAGGTCGTTCTGTACAGCAGTAAGAAACATAAAAAAGATAGAAAAAATATGGGCTATTGATGACACAATGGAGCAACCAACCACACCAACCTTGGATGGGCCACCTTCAGGCTTTATCAACAAAGATGAAACAAACAAACAAAACCCTGGGATTTTTTTAAAATTTGTTTCTTTTCCTAGTAGCTGGATGTAATCTCATAGTTTTTACCACATATAAGGATATTCTCTTCCATGTAGGAGATGGTAGATGAATTTTTCTAAAATCAAAAAAATCTTTAAAAATACCTTAGCCGGAGACGGGGCAAGATGGCGACGGCATAGGTGAACTGG